TTCCGCGTCCAAGACAGCGGTGCCTCGCTCGAGCCTCGGTGTTTCTAGCGCCGTCTTTCTATCGTTGCTCCTTGCGAGCCTTGGCTTGCACCACTAACACTGGTTCACATTGATGATTCTGGTGTCCCTAGCAGATGCGACTTGGCCCCCCAAAATTGAACCCCCAACTCCGTGGTTGCGACTTGTTGAGATGGCGCCGCCGAAACTCCAATTTTCCCCAGCTGGAAGCTCTAAGCGGATTGGACATTCGACATCGACATGCATATCTGCAAGTTGATTGTTGCATGGGGGGACAGCCATCTGGAACAGCAAAGGCAACGGCAAGTACAGGTCTGGCCTTGGCCAAAAAATCGCAGATCAGGACGCCTTTTGGGCCAAGCGAGAGCTCTTGATCTCGTAAAGCCTCAGCCAAGACGCGCGAGCTATGCCTCCTCGATGCTGATGCGGCATGCCACACTGAACCACGGCGACAAATCAGAGACGGGCCTTTTGATGAGATATGAGGGGTTGCAGCAGCTTGCCTCGCATCGAGATATGCGGCAGAGAACCACACGGGATGGCGACGGATGCCGATATTCCTGATGAGGTGAAGGATTTCATGACGGGGTACCCTTGACTTCAACGATGCTACCAGTATTAGTACAGTACAAGTCAAACAGCCAAAGACAGCAGCATTTGATAACATTTAAGGTGGGGGAACAGTTTCCAATTTTTTCGTGTTGCCATTCCATTCACTAGGTCTCTCGGTGTCCTAATAGGAAACACATTATGTTTCACTTTAAAGTGATATAGTGTATTAAAGTGTATTTTTTAGAAACTCTACTAGTATATAAGCTACTTTTATAGCTACTTTTTTTTCTTTTTTTCTTCTCTTTTCCTATTTTTAGTAATTAAAAAGAAATATAGCTATTACTATACTTATTTCGTTTATATAGTCCTTGTATTATAAAATTTCCTCTAATTTATTAATATCCTCTTTAAGCTCTTTATTATTAAGTTTTTATAAAGTTTTTACTTATTAATATATCTATTAGAACTATAAATAGATATATTTAGTATTTAATTTATTATTTTATAGATATAGAAGATATATAGTAACTTATAGGATATAAATAAAATATTTATAGTAGTTTTTATAATTATTTTTAGTTATCATATTAAAGAAAATATTATTAATAAACTATTTAAACTTATATTTATTTTCTTTTATTATTTAGATAAAGGAATATTTTATTTTAATTTAGTTATCAGTTATTTTTATAATTAGTATTTTAACTAATATAAGCTTAAATATAATAAATTATTTTATTAGAAATAATTAATAAATAAAAGAAAAATAAGTTAATATTTTTCTTTTTATATAATCTTATATAGTAGATTATCTATAGATTATTAAAGTTATTAATAATATTTTTATAAATCTAAATTGAAGCTTTTTTAGTTATTATAAATAGTATTATAATATTTAGTAAGTCTATATTAAAATATAAATAGAATTTTTATGGTATAGTATAAACCTTTACAAATTAGATGTAGCTGGGCTTAAAAGGTGGAAGATAAACATATTGTGTGGAATGAGATGGGATTTGTGGGCGAATGTGGCTGGCTGTTGCCGATTGTCAGTGGGCGGGCATCCGGACGAACACTTGGTTCGGCGTTCGGAGAAGAAGCTGTCAAAACGGCGTCTTTGTCCAATCGAAGGCTCTCCGTTGCCAATCCACCACCACATCATCGTCTCCACGATCACCTCCAGCACCAGCCTCTTTTCCGAGCTTGTCTCCTCTTCCCGCCGCTCACTTCGCCGTCCCTCCGTCCGCTCAAGCCCCCCCCTCGGGCGGCTTCTCCACGCCTTGAAGACGGTTTTGCCGCCAAGCCAAGTGGCGGTGAGCTACTGCGTAGCAATGGCCCGTCAAGCCCTGGAAGCGTCCGCCTGCATCTGATCCTCGCACTCGCTCGCCCGGCGGCGCGCCCCTCTTTTCGTTTCTTTCCAATCCCCGTCCTGGAAGCCGCCTTCCGCCTTTGCTCACCGGAGTCTCCCAGAGCGGGCGGGCCCTTGGGGCCTTGAACAACTGTTACCGGCCTTGCGGTGCCAGCGAAAGGATGCCAGAGGTGCTGTGCTGCGCTGTGCTGTACAGTAGGTATGCTGCTGGTAAAAGGGGTTGGGAATCTCGCTTCAATGCTTGCTGCATCTCGCTGTAGGAGATGCGAACACCGGACGCAATGATACTCAGCCGCTGCCCCCGGCTTCAAACCCTTGAGAGCTCATGCGACTGCCTTCTGTTTTCGAAGAGCTGTTTGTCGAGCCGCCTCTCACCGCAGCTTTCCGTGCCGCAGCAGCATGGCTCCTGGCTGGCCATTTCATACAACGCTGTTGCTTGATGTCCTGCTCGCACCGCAGACGGGCAGCTGCGCCGGGTCTTTCCAGGAATACGCGGGTGAGCTCTCACCACACCCCTCAATATGGCAAAAGTCTGGGGTTCGCGGGGTGAGAGGTCTGAATGGAGAGCCCTATCACGATGCTCCGTTGTCCCGACACAATCACACCCAAGGAACTCTATTCGTTGTTGCGAGGGAACAGTCCATTCTCCCTGACAGCACCGGAAAATCCCTCACATTCTATGCACCATGATGACGAAGGCGAAGATGATGTTGGAGGTGGTGGCTGCCTTTTCACGGCTTAGAAGTACTGCTCATAGGGAGTCCAAGTCACGGATACATCTTTGGCCTCTCTCCATCTGCCGTAGAGACTTCTGCGGCTCAACAAGCGATGGTCAGATTAGCCTGTCCAAATGCGCAGGTCGGGTTGATTTTTTTGCTCCCTTCAGCCTGGAGCGTCTCCAGAGCGGTCCTTTGATAACAAACTTTTCATTCTGCATACGGCGTCACCAGCCTGAGTGGGGTGATGAAGCCTACGAGCATTCGGAGGCAGTACCTTATCTCTAGTGGCAAAGAAACAGTGGCATGCTCAAGATGTCTGGGCCAGATCTTCTAGAACGGTTCTCCTGCCTTTCCCGAGTCGGCGACGTCCGCATATCTAGTGCGGTGGACGGCGATCAACCACTCAAAGTAAAGAGACTTGAACATGTGTGAATGGCGGCTTGGCGTTCTGCCAGACGCTACCACACAAGTTGCAAAGGCAAGCCAGCCGGCAGCCAGTCAGCAGAGCTGAATGCCCAGAGTCCGAACAGACCACCGGACCTTGCCAAGTCTCTCTGCAAGGTAACACCAGTTTTGTCTGCTCTGATTTTCATCTCCAAATCTTGGCTTCTTCGGGCTCTCCTATTGAACGATAGGCGACGGTCGATCTCGTGTAATCCACGTGTCAAGCTTTTTGTCCCCTTTGACGACGGTTTTACTGCTCTCTACGAATACCATCTCAAGGTTGACAAGGCGAATTACAACAGGACGAACAAGTAAGAACAGGGCAAAAGCAAGGACGAAATCTACGGTACGCAACTCAGACACCCACCCCGAAGTTCGGACGTGGTGGGCAAAGGGGAGAAAGGAGGCGTCTACCTGTGCGGCCCCGGGGAATGCGCCCTCCGACACCCGGAGCTCTCTTGCGTCCTGCGCCATCCCAACACATTCCCGGGGATGGCTTCCCGGTGCGTGCCTTTGCTGTGCAGAGCGGTACTCACGTAGACGTGTGTCTCTGCACGTTGCCAAGATGGCATGGCCCGTAGTCCGCGCGGCTATCAAGCTCCCTTACCGTTCGAGGCTGTCTACGGCTCAAGGACTTCATGGGATGAAAAGGAAAAATAGCAATAGCGGCGGGTTAGCATGATGATGATGTTCCTCTTGGCATTGGTTTTGAAAGTGCACCTTTTTCGCACCATTCCGCTCGAGCGTGCTTTTCTTTTCCCGATGCGTTCCTCGCACTTCTTGGCGAAGTCTCTTGGCGGGAAAGGCGAAGGGGGTTGTGCATTTGGCCTGGCCGAGAAGATCTTTCCCACGTTCGAGGACGCGGATTTGATATTGGTGAGACTGAGCCAGATAGACGCACAGAGAGAGTTTCGATGGTTCCTGTCTCGTTTCGTTAGCAATCTAGGCTTGTCAAGGTGATGGACAATCCGTTTCTTTGGGGGGCTTGGTATAAGATTTTTGCCAAGAGGGGGCGTGTGCTTTCTTGTCGGAGACAGAGAGAAAAAGACGGTTTTGCGGTGAGAGGGGCGTTCGCGCGGCGTTGACGTGGAAAGCTTGCGTTGCGGGATGGCTGTGTTTTTGGCGATCTTTGTGCGGGCCGTGGCGGGAACGGGGTGGCTGTGAGGACAACTTTGTCTCGTTGGCGGCACCGATTGGATCTTTTGGTTGAGGATTATTGGGGACATCGATTTGGACGTTGTTGGGATACTGCGGCGATGTGCGCGTCTTGCCAAGTGGACGGAGGTCATTGGGATGTGACTGACGGGTTTTGCAGGGCGGCTTGAGGGGTTTACGCGGCGTTGCTATCTTTGGGAAGATGAGGGTGGGTTGCGTCTTTGCCTTGAGTGAGGTCTTGAGGGGTTGGGTCGATCTCGTCGACTGGCTCCCGATGTGCGAGAAGACCGTAGAGGAGGCTTCGAGTGGACGGATGTTTGCTCGAAGTTGACCGTGCTGGAGAGCAAGTGCACCTCACTTCATTGGAGAGATATCTGAAGTCATGATTCTCGTCACGAAGCTAGGCCAATCTGGCGGGCCAAGTGGTGTCAGACTGGTATTGGGTCTCGATGGATATGCTTCCGGCGCTTGTTCGCTCAGCAGACTGTAGTCGAGGTGGAAGCACGCGTTAAAGTGTTCTCCTTTATACCAAGTTGGAGTCAAATTCGTTTGGTCGCCCACGTGTGACTGCAAGTGCAGGTTTTTGATCGGCTGCGAATTCAAATCTATTCGTTTGCAAAGCACTCACAATCTATCTCGTTCGGTGACGATGGTTCATGATCAAGCGAGGTGCACGTTGCAACTAGGCTGCGGTCAAGGTCAGGTTTTGGTGATGCCGTCTCGGGCTCAAAAGGTGTTTAAGTCTATTGGACGATTACAAGCAATATGGTACAAGAAAGGGCCCGAAGAAAACCTATGGTGTGATGACACCCGTAGGATTCTCGTTTCGAACATGTTTGACAGCTTTCCTCGCCGTCGTCGACCTGCGGCGCCTGCTTCGCCAGCTCCGTCAGCAGTCTGGTGTGGAACAGATTCTGCGCGACCGCGAGGAAGATGGCGCCCGCGAGGGTCTGGGCGAGGATGAGGGCCGATGTGCCCAGAGAGATGTCTGCTCCTTTGAGCACCGTTTGGACGGCTGACAAGGGCATCTGCATGCCCATTCCGACGCCGAAGCCAAACATGACGAGCGTTCCGGCCCTATTTGAAGTCATGTTAGGGCAAAAAACGTGTGATCGACAGGGGGGGCTCCGGGCTTACCTGTACGCTATAGTCGTATTCATGTCGTATCTGAAGATGAGGCCGGAAGCGATAGACGAGACGACGACGCTGAAGAACATCTGGGGAACCCAGTATCCGGTCTTTGATACCTGTGAGAAGCACGGGATTAGAAATCGTATCGGGAGCTACGAGGATTGGCTTTCGACCTACCAATACTCCCAAAAGAATGGAGGCGACCGACACGGAGGTTGACGAGGTGAGGAAGTTGATGCCCGATCGCTCCGCGGTAAGGTCCTTGACAGCCTGGAACCAGATGGCGACGTAGTACACGATGATGAAGACGGCGCCGTTGATTCCCAGCATGTAGATCATCCCGCTCGCGACGGACCTCAGGCGGATGAGTCGGAGAGGCAGGGTGGCTTCGTCACCGAGACGGAACTGGACATAGAGCCATCCGAGGGTTAGGACGCCAAACAGGCAGAGGCAGAGGATGATGCGCCAATTGCTCCAAGCGTACGTGGTTCCTCCCCACTGCAATGCCAGAAGGAGAGAGATGAGAAGAGGCATTAAGAGAGCGCTTCCGACGGGGCCCATGCTCTTCAGGAGCGGGACAATCGCCTTGGTTTCTCCTGACTTGCGGGGAGGCTTGACGAACAGGAAGACCATCATAGCTGTTACCGCGCCAAGGGGAAGGTTTATCCAGAAGCACACTCTCCACGAGGCGTTGTCGGTGAGAGCACCTGCGATGTTGCCAAACGTGTTAGCTGATCATCTTCCAGCATCGAACTGGTTCAGAGGGGGTTCTTACCTCCCAGGGTGGGCGCAATGATCTCGGCGATACCTGCCATGCCTCCGATCATGCCCGTGTAAATGGAACGCTTGTGAACCGGGAGGCTGAGGGCGATGATGATGAAGACTCCCGACAGCATGCCCGCGCAGCCGATGCCGGAAACCGCTCTGCCCATGATGAGGGCCACCGAGTTCGGGGCGGCGGCGCAGACAATGGAGCCCACCTCGAAGATGGCAAGCGCGATAAGAAACACATAGGGGACGTGAAGCTCGGCGTAGAGCTTTCCATACATGAGCTGGAAGCAGCAGGTTGTCAGGAGGTACGAAGAGCCGTACCAGGCCACATCGCCAAGGGAGTTGAAGTCGGTGGTGATCCGGGGAACTGCGGTTGCTAGGATGGTTCGGTCCTGGCATTGCGAGTTTAATTGTGGTTTCTGGAGAGAGGGGAGCAGTGCAAACGTACCAACGACAAGCAGAAGACGGCGAGGGTCAGACCAGCGACGACGCAGGCCAGAGGAATACCCTGGACGTAGCTGGCTGAGGCGTCAACGGAGCTGCCTTCGTCGTTCAAATCTTTTGCTGGGTCTTCGTTCAAAGGAGATTCCTTGCTGGGGAGGGCAAATTCCTTCTCCTGGTCCTCAGGAGAAGTTCCACCCAGCTGAGGTTGGTCGGGTTGGTTGTAAGCCATTGTCGCAGGCTTCGATGGGATTGCGGTGACAGAAGGAAAGAAAAGTCAAGAGAGCGTACGAACAGAAATATTTTGAATGGAGAAAAATTAAATCACATCTGTTCGTCGACAAGAACGATCACTCTCGCCCTTTCGAGAGATTGCTGTCATACGGAACATTTCTCCGGTGCCGGGAAGCAAAATGCCTTCCGGAGGGCATAAACGCTCGCCGGAGGAGTCGTGAACGTTGTCCATGGATGTGTGGCGGTCGGACACTCTGCCCCGGAGAGCTATTTGGCTCCCGGGCCCGGGCGTCTCTTCGCACTCCTACTCTTGTCTTCCCACAACCGTCTCCAATTCCCATCCCGCAAAATCAGAAATTGGAATTTCAGGTACCCGAAGCGGATCGTTCTCGGAGTGCACTCGGCTCCGGATACACGTCGTCACACTACGGTGGCGGGAAGCCAACCAGACCCTTGACAATGCCTGATGCTCCTCGCAGCGACAAAGAGAGGGCATGCACTAAATGCTCTCAGTCCAAGGCAAAATGTGTCTGGCCTGGTGATGAAGATGATCGCGACTCTCCCGTCTGCCACAGGTTTGTGAGGCGACGTCTCTGGTGGGTGTGAGCTAACTGCAGTTGATCCAGATGCTCAAGCAACGGACTGGAGTGTTCGACGTCGGAGCCTCAGTCTAAGAGGAAGAGAGGCAAAGCTACGTAAGGAAACACCCCATATTCACACGAGAAACATAGAGCTGACCTTCAATAACATACAAGCCATGCAAAGTTCCCTGAGCGGAAACTGGACGACATCATGCTTCTCTTGAACCGGGATCGGGAGCAATCCACCCTCAACAGCCAGGCGTCAGAAAGCCACCCGTCACCTTCCATCGGAATGGTGCCACAGGATAAAATCGACGGCTCGTATCATTCATTCCAAGCGAATTCGGCTCGGCTACCCTCGCTCACCGAGGCTATTACCATCATACCTGGCTATCAAGCGACATTCCAGGAAGCCGACGTCGTCCTTCAACTTTACACGTCCGACTTTGTTCCACAGTTCCCTTTTGTCCCTTTGCCCACCCACAACGCATACGACCTCTCGACGGGCCGTGCTGGGTCTTTTCCACATATCTTCCGTGTAAGTTGCCCAAGAAGCAATATGCGACTGCGATCTCTCAGTCTTGCAACGACTGACTTGACGCAAGGTTGTCCGGTCTCCTGGGTAGGTCATCACGGCTCGAGTTTGTGCGTTACTTTGAAGACTGCTGCGAGAAGCGGGCAAACGCTCACGAGTACCCGACGGACCTACTGCTTGTGCAGCTCATTCAGGCTAGGAAAATCGCCCTCAAGGTGGAAGAGGCATTTAGAGAAAAGAGCGAGGTGACCAACGACAAACCATTCGGCGGACTTCACGCCCTGGCCATCGCCACCATCCAGAAGGAATTGGGCGCGTTCATTGCTTCTTTGCCGGGCCCTATAAGCTCGCATTGTCAGTATCCTCAAAACCACAGCCGGCCTGGCATTTGACTAAACATCCCGGCATAGACCTCCTGCGAGAGCAAAGCGCTGCCATTCGCATACGGCTGTTCAAGCCCGCCATCCATGCTGACGGAGAAACTCAACCGCAAACTCCCCATCTCAGGTCCAGAATGATGTGGCAGTGCCTGACAAGCACACAAGAGCTCCTCGACGCTTTCCTCGCCATACCCGTGGAAACGTACGCGTCGCCCACATTCATCTCCATCCTCCACCTCGCGCTCGCCATCATCAAAGCCTGCGGCCTGCTCTGCATGGAAGACTGCGACTGGGACTTGGAAACAGCACGGGCAAGTCTGAACCTGGCGGACACTCTCCAGGTTCTGGGCGACCGTTTCGATGCGGCAACGCATGTCCACGGCCCTGGGAGCGCGGCCCTCGTCAACCGCCAACCTTTACTCTCGTCGTATGCGGAGCACTACAGAGCGATCAGGCGCTGGTTCCTGTCCAATATTGGTCCTGCAGGGGCTACCAGCACATTGCCGGCAATGATGGACCCCGTGTTTGCGGACGGCGTAGCAGTGCCTGAAGGCTTTGAGTTCTGGCAACAGTTGTCGGAGTTAACTTACGGAGCCCTGCCAAACACTTGAGTTTCGGGGTTCCTGTTGATGAGTCTAGCGAGACTGCCGAAGCTGCCATGCTGTGTGGTTGTATATTATGCAGCTCGACGGCCAGAGAGAGGTCTCGCGTGGGCATGGAACTAGACTTGCAATGGCCGGTATCACGGACTTTTTGGTGATTACGCGGAACAGGTTCACCTCCATACATCATCTGAATTAATCGCCACAAATTTCGACTGATGCATACCGTTTGGACTTTCCGATCATTTGAAATTGACTCAATCTTGTCCTATTCCAAAGCCGAGTAAGCAATCGAACATTGAAACTACCCAGATGGTCTTTACACGTGCAGCGAGAAAGATTACAAGGTAAGGCTAGTCACGAGTTGTCATCTTGGGAGATGACACCGGGCAAGAAAAAAAACCCATTTCCCTCACAAAGAACGAATTGTCGCTTGCAAAAATGGAAGTCGCAGGTGAATGAGGTGAAAAGGAAAGGACCGACCGCGGTTCGAACGCGGGGCCTAGAGATAACTGCGTGAAACTGCAATCTCTCGCTCTACCACTGAGCTATCGATCCGACTGTAGTGATTGGTTATGGCAGAATAGGTGGTAAGTCTGACTAAGTAGCCAGATCCAAAGTTGTGGAGCCGACTGGACACCTCCATGCCTCTCCGCCTCCTAGGATTAACGCGACGATCGAATATGTTGTAGACAGGTATTTTCGCTTTCCGAGGAGGAAAGTCTGAATACTGTAAAGTTGATTTCTGCTCCGACCTTGAGGTGCTTTGCATTACTTGAATCCAGCTCACCTGAGCATAGACCACAAGGGCGTTGTCAACTACACGCTTCTCAGTGTTCACAGAGTGGCAATATGTCATTGTCAATTCTTCTGCAAGCCTTTCTAGCTGTATAGAACGAATAGCTGGATATAACGCATGCAATGGACGATTTCACGATATAAGCTACTTTACTTTGGATCAACAGCACGTCTCAGCACAAGACCTGGGAAGGCTTGAAGACAGAAAAGGTCCAGGATGGTTGAACACAGCCAAATTATATTAGTGACGAAGCATTGCCGCTGCGTCAACGTCTTCTTTGGCTTTTGGAGGTTGCAGATTCGCATGTCCTTTTTGCAGCAGCCTCTACGTGAGCACCGAATACCCGGTCGATCCAGAGGCCGTTGAAAGCAATAGTCGAACAGTCGTCTCAACATCAGGAGCGCCTGCCTGTCGCGTAACTTCACTTCCCTCAGGCTAAATCATATGAGCAAGAGTCCAAAGCGGCGATAGGTGATCCATATCTGACCATCCAAACAGACTTGCAACTTGGGATGAACGGAACATCACAGCAGATTACCGGCACTCCAAACAGGGACTGCACCTCAATACCAAGGATCATTGACCGCAGGCTCTGGGAGCCAGCCAACTTACCCAAGCTCAAGAAACGATATCTCCTCGACGGGACCAGGTATTCCAATGCGCCAGCCTCCTCGACTTCGAGAGCCCTGGCAGATGGCCGCACAACAGCCATGCCCGGTCGAAGCCAGCCGCCCTGATCCAGAAAATGTCACTGACCCCTATCGTAAATGAGTCACCTGAACTTTCCCTCGAGTACTCTGCAGTCAAGCTACACGCACCAGCCTTTTTTGCCTTTGAAAAACACTGGCCTGCGGCGTTAGGCAGAGCTGCAGAGGCGAGGAGCAGACGGTGTGAGCTGGCCAAGTGGGTCACGATGCAGGTCTGGAATGGCGAGAGCTGGGGGGTTGGCTTTTTTTTTTCTAGAGTGTCGGTGAAGGGGGACGCGCGACCTTGGCGCGTTGGTGCTGCAGGCATCAGAGGTGAGAGAGAGAGTGAGCATGCCCAGACGTTTACCTTGGTCGAAGTGCGATGGTTGACCGGTCCGCTTCTCCTCAGTCTAGCGCCATGCCAATTCAAGGCACAGCGAAGGTTTACGCGCTCGAAACATCGTCAACTTTGGTTTGTTACGCGCGTGTCTTAGGTAGGCAGGTCGGCTGCAGGACTGGGCCTAGCTCCCGACCATGCAAAGCCGCATGACCTTGGATCCCCCCCCCCCCCCCCCCCCAGGCGGTTTAAGCAAATACAAAGTGCTTGCTTGATAGACCACACCGCAAAGTGAACACTGTAAACCGATGATACACCGAATCGGCACGAATGCATGCGGGCGAAACCAGTTTGACGGACCAGTTGTCATGTAGCCTCAACAACGAATGAGCCCATCGCCCCAACGACCCGAGCAGAGTTTTGCCGGGCAATGGCCGAACTGATAACATCCCGAGTTTCGAGTCTAGCGTAGAGGATGTGGATGCACGCAGGAGGCTCTTTGATGCCGCTCGACGGCGCCGCAGGATTTTTGTTCTAGGTGGACTCTAGAAGGACCACAGGTTGCGGATCTCTCTCCTTTCCCCTGGTAGGCAATGTGGACACCGTTGCCATCGGAATGCGGAAAAGGGCCGACAGTCTGCCGTGGTTGCCGAGGTGTCCTGCGTTCCGTACGTGTATCCAAGTCCGGCGACGGCTCGGGACAGCGCTCGGGACAGCCCCCCGGAGGCGTCGGCCAACAAAAGCGGGCCTGCTCGGCGGCGGGCGAGTCAGACGTGGATGAGGCAACTTTGGTGACCTGGTATGTTCCAACGACTCTGCTGACGGTGGAAATGATTGTCGCCTCTGCCACAATCATGTTGCCTTTGCCACCAGGTTTTGACTCATGGTGGCTGGCACATCTGTAGAAATTGGAACCAAGGGACCACTCTGCTGACTTGTTCAACCGACGAGACTTTCCATCCGTCTGAACCAGTAAGACCACTGGCGAAAAAACAGCAACGAAGCTAGATGGACAATGGCTGGGCAGTGACGAAGGCGTCATATGAATCCCAGACAGCGCTAATGTGAGGAAGCTTCC